GGGTAACATAGCAAGACCCTGTCTCTATAAAAAATTTAAAAAATTAGCTGGGCTTGGTGGCACATGCCTGAGGCCGAGGCAGGAAGACTGCTTGAGCCCAGGAGTTTGAGGCTGCAGTGAGCTAGGACTGTGCCACTGCACACCAGCCTGGGCAACAGAGTGAGACCCTGTCTCTAGGGGGGGGAAAAAAAAAGGCAGGGGGAGGGCAGGATTTTCAAGGATCATTCTGGCCAAATGTGATTTCTGCCTCGCCTGTGTCTTAGAACTTGACCGAGGCTACCAGTACCACACACATCGCTGCTCACAGGGTACGTACGATTAGCCTCATCTTACAGACAAAGCAAGTGAGGCACAGAGGCTGAGTGACTTTCCCAGGGTCACCATAACAGCGAATGACAAGAGCAGGACTCAAGCCAGGATCTGTCTGACCCCAAAGCCGGGACTCTGTCCACCTTGCGGCTGTCCCGCCTTCCCACTAAACCCCATCCGACTAGTGATGTCCAGGACTTGCCCTTCCTGGCAACAGCTCCCACTAGAGGCAACTTGTCAAAAGCAAAGAACAGCAACAGGAGGATGCCAGATCCTGACCGTGCAGGAGATGGCTGGAACCCTCGCTGAGGCCCCAAAGGAAAGGGAACTACTGTTTAGAAAGAAATAAAATATATAGATATATATATTTTTTTTACTGCAAATGTTCACATTTCCAGTTTAAGTCATTACAAAAGGATCCCCCAAAACTTGGTTTATCTAATGCGAAAGAATGGTATAACTTACAAAAAATAAATATATGTGTTTTCACCTAAAAGAAAGATGCTCTCTGGGTTTGAAGTCGGCGATGTAATTCTTAGCAAGTATGAGTCCTGGGGCAGCCGTCAGCTCTGGCTGCTTTCTGGATTTCACTTTGGGCTCCAACGGAGACACATTAAAGAACAGGCTTTAAACGATGCTGCTTCTCCGTTTTCTTCCAGGAATACAGAGACCAAAACGATCAAACACAGGGCGAGCTCCTCACTATTTCCTGGGAATGTGACTTCTCAGCCCAACACTTCTCTTCCCAAGAAGTTCAAGTTTTGAGACAGTTTTTCTCCCTGGAACAGTACTTAAAGAAAAAAAAAATCACTGATATTCAAAGATGGGTTCTTTTCGTGTCCTGGAAGAGCATCAATAACTAAACGTCAAGTTCTCCACAATGCTGCCCCGCTGGGGGACTAACCGGATGCCAAGGGAGAGAATTAAAGTCTAAAAAAAAGGAAAAGACTCAAGGGGACGTTTTTTGGTACCCATTGGTAATACTTGGGAGGTACTTCGTGTTCTTTACTTTGAAAGCTTCATAACCATGAGCAGGTACCATGAGAGGGAAAGCAAAGAGGCGGTAAGAAAAAAGAAGAAAAGCAATCAACACTGTAAGCAACCAACAGTGCTTCGGGCAAGGCCCCTAACACGTTTTCTGCTAGGACTGGTCAGCAGCCGTCCAGCTGGCTGCTCACTCTCCAACTCTATTTCTAGTCAATGTCAAATTCCCATGAGGCCATCTCCTTAATATTACCCCCCATCGATCATGGTGGGAACAGTAATAACGGCGTTGATTGTTCTTACAATGTTGAACAAAAGAAAAAAGCAAGGGAAAGCCTGGAGTGGGGGTGAGTGGGGAGGGGAACCCCAGGTGGAACGTTGGCCCTACGAGACAATCCCCTGGCCCTGCAGTTCCAGGTCCAGGTTATCTGTTAGTCCAACCAGGTCCCTTCCAGGAGGACAGGCTTGGGAGTGCAGAGGCTGCCTCTGGCCTGAAGCAAGAACTGGCAGAGCTGGCGCTGGGATGCTGGTTCCCAGCTTCTGAGTACCTGGAAGACCAGATGTTGGCAAGAGGACCATGCAGGGCCCCAGGACACTGCCAAGGGGAGGGAATGATTTTCTCCAGGCCCCTCAACCTCAAAACTGTAGCCCCAAGGAAATGAAGCATTCCGGGTGGACCCAGACAAGGATGTTAGAGGTGATGGGAGCCACAGGCATCTCAAAGACTTGCAGTCCATAGACTTCGGCTGGAGAGATCCGAGGCAGCCGGCTGGATTTGGTCACTAGGATCTTCTATACAACCAATTCCTTCAGAAGTCTGGCTGCCAAAACTCGTCCGCGGGAAGCACCAGGAACACACTTGCATTCCTGGGGGCAGGAGGCTGTGTGTGTGTCTCAGGGCACCAGGGGCAAGGGCGAGCATGTTTTGGGCAGCTCGCCTCTCTGTGTCTGTCCCGTGTCTTCACGGCCAGTTCCAGGCAGGGGACTGGATGGCGGTGGCTGCTGCTTTGAGTACGTTTTGGTTGTCTGGGTTTGGTTTTGATTTTTTGGTTTCAGTGTGGGAGGCTTGGTTTCCCAGGGGTACTGACTCCTGCCTGGGCGCTGGCATGTAGGCCCTGCAGTTCTGACCAGATAGGCCAGCTGTGCGGCTCACACCAGGCCGGCGTCTTTGGCCATGTTGTAGAAGAGACCTCTCTGCTGCAGGAGGTCCGACGGGGCGCCGTACTCCTGGATTTCTCCTTTGTCCAAGACGATCACCCTGTAGCAGGAGGGGATACAGACATCAGAGGAAGGAGAGGGGTGAGCACCTCGTGCCCCTGCGACAAGTGACCTGGGCAAGTTACTGCTTTGGGTCAGGTCCCTAACACTTTCTGCTAGCACTGGTCAGCAGCCTTCCAGCTGGTTGCTCACCCTCCATCTCTATTTCTAGTCAATGTCAAATTCCCATGAGGCCACCTCCTTAATATCTACCCCACATCAATCATGGTGGGAACAGTATTAACAGTGTTGACTGTTCACATTCACTGTTCCATTACATTCAGAGTAAAATAAAAAGATCTTACCATAGTCTACAATAAGGATTGGCAACATTTTTCTGAAAAAGGCCAGACAGCAAATACTTCAGGCTCTGCAGGCCATATGGTTTCTGTTACAACTATGCATCTCTGCTGTATTTATAGTGTGAAAGCTGCCAGAGACAACAGGAAAATGAACAGATGTGGCTGTGTGCCAATAAAACTTTATTCATAAAAACAGGCCAGGGGCCAGATCTACGGCCTGTGGGCCATAGTTGGCTGACCCCTAATATTTTAGGTCCTGTAAGATTTGACACTGCCCACTTCTGTCCTCATTTCTATGTCCTATATTTCAAAAGCACCAACTCAGTATCTGTCACTTAGTAGGTGGTACTCAGTGAACTAGAAACATCATGTCAGCTGGGTGCAGAGACTCACGCCTATAATCCCAGCACTTTGGAAGGCTGAGGCAGGAGGATCGCTTGGGGCCACAGTGAGCTGTGATCCCAACACTGCACTCCAGCCTGGGCGACAGGGTGAGACGCTATCTCAAAAATAAATAAATAAAATGGAAACTCATGTCACCCCCCTGCTTAAAACTTTCCAATGGCTTTACAGGGCTCTTAGAGTAAGTTCCAAGCTTCTCACCGTGCTTACATGCTGCTCTAAGATCTAGCCCCTGCCCTACGTTTCTGGCCTCATCTCCTAGCCCTGTCCCCTCAATTCCAGCCTCTAGGTACAACGGCCTCCTCATGCTAGCCTTCAAATTCATTAAGCACATTCATTCAGTTTTACATTCGGCTGTACCGGCTGCCTAGAATATTCTTCCTTTAGATCAAAGGTTGGCAAACTGTGGCTTGCAGGCCAAATCTGACCCCCTGCCTGTTTTTATGAATAAAGTTTTACTGGAACACAGCCATGCTCATTCATTTGTGCACTATGACTGCGCTCACAAGGCAACACTGGAGTCAAGTGGCCGAGAGGCCATGTGGCCCGCAAAGCTGAAACTACCCCAGCCCTTAAGAACAAGGTTGCAGATCGCTGTCCCAGATCTTCTCACAGCTGACTCCCTTTCATTGTTCAGGTCTCAGCTAAAATGTCACCTCCTCAGAGGTGACTCAAGCAAAACTCAAAACCCCCCAAGATCCTGGTACTACGGCTGCATCGTGACTTCTGTGATCCCCGGCACTGATGCCTGCGGAGGCAGCTTTCTCCACACAAAATGCTAAAATTTCTATTTTATGACTGTGTTGGTATAAATAGAAACAAGGTTGGATTACATTCTTTTTTTTCTTTTTTGAGACGGAGTCTCACTCTGTCGCCCAGGCTGGAGTGCTGTGGCACAATCTCAGCTCACTGCAACCTCCACCTTCCAGGTTCAAGCAATTCTCCTTCCTCAGCATCCCAAGTACCTGGGATTATAGGCACGTACCACCTCACTCGGTTAATTTTTGTATTTTTAATGGTGACAGGGTCTCACCATGTTGGCCAGACTGGTCTCAAACTGTCGACCTCAGGTGATCTGCCCGCCTCGGCCTCCCAAAGTGCTGGGATTACAGGCGTGAGCCATCGCACCTGGCCTGCTTCTTTTTAAAAAATAAAACCTTTTTTGTGGGCCCCAGGCACTGGGCCTGCAGTGCTCGATGTAAACAATGGCCTGCCTGGCACCTGCTATCCCGTCTCCTCGGCAAGCGTCCTTCCCAGCACTTGCTGCCCTCTGGAATCCTGTTGGTTTGTTGCTCTGTCTATTTTGTCTCCTCTATCTAATAAGCTACTTGGTCCTAGAGGCAGGGACCTTGTCTGATAGCAGCCTACAGAGTCCCCAGCGTCTGGGAACATGGCAGGTGCGCTATGCCGATACAACGACAGAATGAATGACTGGATGATGTCAGAAATACCTGGTACCACTGGGCACAGTGGTTCATGCCTGTAATCCCAGCACTTTGGGAGGCTGAAGCAGGCAGATCGCCTGAGGTCAGGAGTTCAAGACCAGCCTGGCCAACATGGCGAAACCCTGTCACTACTAAAAATACAAAAATTAGACAGGCGTGCTGGCACATGCCTGTAGTCCCAGCTATTCAGGAGGCTGAGGCAGGAGAACTGCTTGAACCCCAGAGGTGGAGGTTGCAGTGAGCCAAGATCGCGCCACCGTACTCCAGCCTGGGAGACGGAGTGAGATTCTGTCTCAAAAAAAAAAAAAAAGAAATACCTGGTACCATCCAGGATGAAGAGAGGATCCACCCACTGGGGCTGTCACTAGGGATAAGGACAGTGTTGAATGAATGAATGAATGAGCCAGTGAGTAAGGCAAACTCTCAAAGCCTAGAGGCCACTGTGCCAGGGGCATCACCTTGTGTAGTCCATGATGGTGTTGAGCCGGTGGGCGATGGTGAGGACGGTACAGTCCTCAAACTGTGTCCGGATGGTGGACTGGATGAGGTCGTCCGTTTCCAGGTCCACAGCTGCCGTGGCCTCATCCAACACAAGGATCTTCGTCTTCCTCAGCAGGGCCCGGGCCAGGCACACAAGCTGGCGCTGCCCAACACTTGACCGAAAGAAAAACACGAGGAGACAGTGTTAGATCAAACCACCCCTGACTCCAAACCTAGGCCCAGGCTGGGAGATGTGAAAGGAGACACTCGATGTTGCTCGACCAGGAAACCACGTCCACTCCCAACATCTGTGTCTGCAGCAGACATCACTAATCAATCAGAGCACATCTCCTATTCAGCAAGATGTAGGTTCAGAATCATCCTCAAAACAGTGGCTCACACCTACAATCCCAGCACTTTGGGAGGCCGAGGTGGCAGGATAGCCTGAAGCCAGGAATTTGAGACCAGCCTGGGCAACAAAGCAAGACCCCCATGTCTCCTAAAAACAAAAATAAACAAATAAGCTGGGTGTAGTGGCATGCTCCTGTAGTCCCAGTTACTCGGGAGACTGAGGCAGGATTGTTCGAGTCCAGAAGTAAGAGGCTGAGATCAATCCACTGTACTCCAGCCTAGGCAAGAAAAAAAAAGTCGGGCACAGTGGCTCACACCTATAATCCCAGCACATTGTGAGGCTAAGGCGGGCGGATCACTTAACACCAGGAGTTTGAGACAGCCTGGCCAATGTGGTGGTACTCCATCTCACTAAAAATGCAAAAATTAACTGGGCGTGGTGGCAGGCACCTGTCATCCCAGCTACTTGAGAGGCAGAGGCAGGACAACTGCTTGAGCGTGGGGGCGGAGGTTGTACCACTGCACTCCAGCCTGGGTGACACAGTGAGACTCCCTGTCTCAGAAAAAAAAAAAAAAAAAAAAAGAGCTAATATCCATGCATCCCTATCCACCTGTGGGGCCATGACAGGTGGCTCTGGACTCAGACATGTACCTTGCTTTGGCCAATGGGACACTGGCAAACATAACACCAGCCAAAAGAATACTGTGAGATGCACATGGGTGCTTCCACGCTCTTGTGCCCCTGCCATGGCCATGACATGCCAAACTGGTCTGCTGGAGAATGAGGGATGCGCCGAGTATACCCTTCTTGCCCCACCTGAGGCCAACAGCCAGCTGACCCCCAGACATGCATGTGAGCCCAGCCAAGATCAGCAGAGTCACCCAGCTGACTGCCCTCGTTTGGGAGCAATGATCATTGCTTTATACTCCAACGTGACTGAGGCTTTATGGTTGGTTGTCATGGAGACGGATAACAGAACCAGAAGCAGGCACTAACAAACACCACCAGAGCGGGACCCCAGAGGTTCCGCTGGTGTGCCAGGCATTAATGCTTCAGTCGCCAGGTCATGGACAGAGCTCCAGGATCCTGGTAGCAGGACCAGGACAGCTGGGGTAGTGCATGGGGACTTGAGGGCTCAGAGCAGTGCCAGTGACCAGCTGGTACAGAAGCCTTTTCAGAGCTTAACAACTGACAGCCACTCTCAACTGCGTGGAGCTGGTGGGAAATGTACTGGCCATCCTGGTTATTCTACCTCATGGTACAAACAGCCTGGATTAAGACCCATTTCACAGATAACAGAAACTGAGGCTCCAAGAGGTGAAGGGACAAATGGTTTATCTACGGCACAATTGGGATTCAAATATAGGTCTGACACAGACCTGGACAGAATCTTCAAACACCCCTACCGAGGTGGCACCTAGGACACCTTATCTGGTGTCTCCCCGTTCACCCCCGCCTACCTGAGGTTCTCCCCGCCTTCTGCACACTCGTGGTCCAGCTTGTCGGGAAGGGCTGACACGAACCCCTTCAGGTGGGCCAGCTCCAGGGACGTCCAGACTTCTTCGTCCGAGTACTGGCTGAACGGGTCCAGGTTCATGCGGAGGGAACCCGAAAACAACACAGGGTCCTGTTCAGAGAGAAGAGAGTGGACAGCACGTGATGCCTATGTCACGCTGACATGCATGGAGACGAGGTGAGGCCGAAGGACTTCTGGCCAGGACTGCTGAAGGTGGGCTGTCAGAGCTCCTTGGAATCACTATTTCTGCAGATGCTAATAATGGAGAAAAAGGCCAGGCGCAGTGGTTCACACCTGTAATCCCAGCACTTTGGGAGGCTGAGGCAAGCGGATCAGTTGAGGTCAGGAGTTCGAGACCAGCCTGACCAACAGGGCAAAACCCTGTCTCTACTAAAAATACAAAAATCAGCTGGGCATGGTAGCGCACACCTGCAGTCCCAGCTACTCGGGAGGCTGAGGCAAGAGAGTCACTTGAACTTGGGAGACGGAGTTTACAGTGAGCCAAGATCATGCCACTGCACTCCAGCCTGGGTGACAGAGCGAGACTCTGTCTCAAAAAAAAAAAAAAAAATTCCTTAATGATGGAAAAATTTAAAAAGTCTGGAAAATCCGAGTTTGGCAGAATAAAAGATTTCCTTTCCACATAACTTCCTACAGCCTTCAATATGGCAAGTGGGTTGAGAACCTCCCAAAATGAGATACAGCACAGGTGATTCCTAACATAAAGTCCCGTGGATTCTCCCGTCCTCCAACTCCAAAAGAGAATCTTGTAAGAAACATTAGGGAAGATTACACTAAAAGGCAACATATTAAGAAATCCACCTGCAGGGATTGGTCTAGAAAATCCTTATTTCAGCCAGGCATGTTGGCTCATCCCAGCACTATGGGAGGCCGAGGCAGGCAGATCACTTGAGGTCAGGAGATTGAGACCAGCCTAGGTAACACGGTAAAACCCCGTCTCTACCAAAAATACAAAAACTAGCCAGGCATGGTGGTATGCACCTGTAATCCCAGCTACTTGGGAGGCTGAGGCGGGAGAATCGCTTGAACCCAGGAGGTGGAGGTTGCAGTAAGCTGAGATCATGCCACAGAACTGGGTGACACAGTGAGACTCTGTCTCAATTAAAAAAAAAAAAAAAAAAAAGAAAATCCTTATTTCTCACCAAATACTGCATGTTCTGACTTATAAGTGGGAGCTAAACTCTGGGTATTCATGGATGTAAAGATGGAAATGATAGACACCGGAGCCTCCAAAACTGGGGACAGATGGAGGAGGGTAATGGTTGAGAAACTCTCTCTCAGGTACTTTATTCAATATTTGGGTGATGAGATCCGCAGAAGCCCAAGCGTCAGCATCACACAATATACCCATGTAACAAGCCTGCAGGTGCACCCCGTGAATCTAAAATTAAAAAGTCTTATTTCTTGTCCAGCTCGTGGAAGGGTTAGAGATTCTCAGTCTGACTCTGGAGCAGAGAGAGAAGATGGTGCCTTTTTGGATTTTTCTAGATGCTCCAAAACTACCCCTTGTGGGGACGGGAAGTTGCGGCTGATAGTTAATTCCCACATTGTTAATCGTATGCTAACAGGAAATTCAGGGAAACAGTGGCATAGCCTAACTTCAATAAAAACAACGAAGGCCAGGCACAGTGGCTCACGCCTGTAATCCCAGCACTTTCAGAGGTCAAGGTGGGTGGATCGTTGGAGCCCAGGAATTTAAGAGCAGCCTGGTCAACAAGGTGAAACCACATCTCCACAAAAAATACAAAAAAAAACGTAGCTGGGTGTAGTGGCGTGTGCCTGTAGTCCCAGCTACTGAGGAGGCTGGGATGGGAGAATTGCTTGAGCCTGGGAGACGGAGGTTGCCGTGAGCTGAGATTGCGCCAGTGCACTCCAGCCTGGACAACAGAGCGAGACCCTGTTTCAGAAAAAACAAAACCAAACCAAAAAACGACAAAGTAGGGCCAAATGTATGTTTGCTCCCAAAATATGCATACATCACTGTTAGTGCCATCACAGGGCTTGCCAGCCCTGGCTCACCGCCTGGGCCGCACCCAGACCCCACCTGGGGGATGATGGTGATCTTGAAACGGAGGTCATGCAGGCCGATCCTGGCGATGTTGATGCCATCGATGATGATCTCTCCTTCGGCAGACTCGTTGATCCGAAATAAGCCCAGCGTCAGGGATGACTTCCCAGCTCCCGTCCGTCCCACGATGCCGACCTGCAGGACAGAAGGATGCAGGTGTGGTGGGAATGCTGGCATCTGGACTTGTCCCTGACCCACAGTGCCCTCATCTCAGCCCCACCTCGGGCATCAGTCATCCCGTCGACCCAACTCCACAGCCCTCTCCCTCGCCTGCTGCCCAGAGACACTCCTTTAAGGGTGCTTCGGTCGAAGGTCAAGAAGGACTCTCTTCCCTTTGCCAGGCTCCCGAAAGGAATTACTCAGCTTTTTATAAGTTACTAGAGACCTCAAAAAGATACAGAAGAGGCAGAAGGAATTTCCAACAAAGCCCTATTTGTTTCAACGCAAGTTAACTATTAAGTAATAATCAGGCATTTCCTCATTTCCCCACGCTGTTTTCCACACCTCTGATGGTGAGTTTCCCATCATGAGCTGTTGAAATATCTGCAAGATTCAGGCAGACCTTCTGGCCCTTTGCTATGACCTGGTCTCCGTGCATCCTCTCTTGAAGGAACTAGGTTCTCTGGCCAATGGTCAATGCTGACGCTGCTGATCTCCAGTTCTCCCTGTCCCGCTGGGCTCCTGAGAGGCGGGCTTCCTCTACCCTCCTACAGGGGCGTCACAGAGCAGCATGCGTGCAAAAATTCTCATGACGTGAGATAAGTCATAAAGACTCAATAAGGGCTGGGCGTGCTGGCTCGTGCCTATAGTCCCAGCACTTTGGGAGGCCGATGCGGGTGGATCACAGAAGGTCAGGAGTTCGAGACCAGCCTGGCCAACATGGTGAAACCCCATCTCTACTAAAAGTACAAAAATTAGCTGGGTATGGTGGCGGGCACCTGTAGTCCCAGATACTCAGGAGACTGAGGCAGGAGAATCACTTGAACCTGGGCGACGGAGGTTGCAGTGAGCCGAGATAGCACCACTGGACTCCAGCCTGGGTGACAGAGTGAGATCCTGTCTCAAAATAAAACAAAATAAAAAAAAAACAAAGACAGCAAGAACATCACCCACTCTGCTCTTCTCGGTAACTCAGACAGAAATTATCTGCTGGGAACAGAATGTTCTGAGCTTTGTGGGAGGGACGTAAGAACAGTTCAACAAGTCCCTATGTTCAGAGGTGAAAGCAGCCTTCCTCCCCAGCAAACGGCCAGGAATACTCTCAGACCGATTCCAGACGACAGCCTAAGGGTCTCGCTCAGGTCAAGGAACCTCTTCCAAGAAAAGCTCAGAACCAAGAGAAGGCTCCAAAAATCTGACGAGTTCTCACTTCCCTTAAGCCATCCCCTAGAAGGGATGGTGACCCCTTATTCTAGAGATCACAGATTCTGATGTCTTGGAGGGGCCAAGTAGGCACTGAATGGGACAGGGAGGGACTGGGGTGAACCAGGAGGCTCACAGGCTGTCTATAAAGAGCCAGGCCCAATGTTGCCAGATGTTCTCATCTTCCAAAAAGAGCAGAAAATAAATTTTTACATTGTTCCAGATTTTTTAGTATTTGCAGCTTATTCAAATTTATTCCAGGCTGGGCGCGGTGGCTCACACCTGTAATCCCAGCACTTGGGGAGGCCGAGGCGGGTGGATCACTTGAGGTCAGGAGTTGAAGACCAGCCTGGCCAACGTGACAAAACCCCGTCTCTACTAATAATACAAAAATCAGCCAGGCGTGGCAGCATAGGCTTGTAATCCCAGCTACTCGGGAGGCTGAGACAGGAGAATCACTTGAACCCGGGAGGCAGAAGTTGCAGTGAGCCAAGACTGGGCCCCTGCACTGTGGCCTGGGCAACAGAGTAAGACTCTATCTTAAAAAACAAACAAACAAACAAAATTCTTCCAGGGGCCAGGAATGGTGGCTGATTCCTATAATCCCAGCACTTTGGGAAGCTGAGGCGGGCAGATCGGTCGAGCTCACGAGTTCCAGACCAGCCTGGGCAACACAGTAAGATCCCCATCTCTACAAAAAAATACAAAACTAGCCAGGCGTAACGGCACACATCTGCAGTCCCAACCACTCGCAGTCCCCCGACTTGGGAGGCCGTGGTTGCAGTGGGCTGAGATCACACCACTGCACTCTAGCCTGGGCGACAGAGCGAGACCCTGTCTCAAAAAAAAAAAAAAAAAAAATCTTCCAAAACGTATCTGTGGGGCTCATTTGCTCTTTGGGCTGTCAGTTCACCTAAAAGCCTTCACTTCTACAAGTTGGATGCGCTCTGAACAGCTTTTACTGCGACGCTCCACTCGCATCCCCTGGAAAAGCCATTCAAGCGGAGGTGTGGAGCCGTGAGTGACTGCGGAGACGCCACAGCTTGATTCATCGGCCTGGTGGCACCCTGTGCCCGACTGGGAATGGGTGGAGGAATGGGGCCATGTGTACCCACCTTTTCTCCCCCATTGATGGTGACATTGATGTGCCTGAGAACGAAGTCCAGGTCCTCTCGGTACCGCAGGCAGTAGTTCCGGAATTCCACTCGGCCCACCTGGGGCCAGTTGCTGGGCGGAGCCGTCTCCTGGATTTGCCAAGGCGCCTTCGATCGCGGCAGAGGGAGATAGTAAGGAATTCCCAGTCCATCCTGGAAAGCCGTGACTCCCCCGACCTCCCCTCTCACTCACTCTGCTGCCAAAGGTGGCCTCCCAGGCCTCAGCACTGGCGGGTTGCCCTTCCTGGAATGTTCTTTCCCAAAAGACCCCCTGGCATCCTGTGGATCTCTGGTCGATGCAGAGCACCCTCCCAGCCCTGTGTCCCTCTGTCCCCTCCCGCGCTGCCTTTTTCTTCAGGGCACTCCCTGTCCCCAGCCCTCTCGGGGCTCGTACGCTTGAGTGTACACTGTCTCCGACGCCCACTGCACCAGCCACTCCATGAGGACAGGCTCTAATTGTTCACTGCTGTATCCCAGGGCTCAGAGTACATAGTAGGTGTTCAATAAATACGAACATAAACAAGAAGAGTGACACAGCTGCTGACACAGAAAGTGAATCAGTGGTAGAAGGCACAGAAACTGAAGGGACATAATCATCGTTCAGTAGGACAGAGACACCCTTCTGTAATGCTGGCATCTCTCTGTGATACATAATGGCTGACTGGACCACAGCAGTTCATTTTTGTCTGCCAGAATTAACCTGATGTTCATGTTCACCTTTCTCTTAAAATAGTTGAACAACTGACTTCTACAGATATTGCTTTTTTTTTTTTTTTTTTTTTTTTTGAGATGGCGTCTCGTTCTGTCTCCCAGGCTGGAGTGCAATGGCATGATCTCAGCTCACTGCAACCTCTGCCTCCCAGGTTCAAACGATTCTCCTGCTTCAGCCTCCTGAGTAGCTGGGACTACAGGCGCCCGCCACCACACCCAGCTAATTTATGTATATTTGGTAGAGACATGATTTCACCATGTTGGCCAGGCTGGTCTCTAACTCCCGACCCCAGGTGATCCGCCCACCTCCACCTCCCAAAGTGCTGGGATTACAGGAATGAGCCACCATGCCCGGTCACACACAATGTTCTTAATATGAACATGATAGGTAAACTTTAAAAGAATTTTTCTGATAAAATAGAAATGTTGCCCCCAGATTCTTTTAACGTCAAGGAAATGGATAACAGCTTGTCAGAGACTTCCTATGGAAGAAAGAATTTTTTAGATAGCTATCATTAGGTTGGATAAGGTAATAGATATTTTTCAAAAGAGCAAGTAGAGGTATATCTTATCCGTATCTTTAGGCTGATGTAGAATTTTAAGGTTTAGACAACAGGGTGACATTTTACGCACAGACTGGCTCTAGGTATTTGTGGAGCACAATACAGAGATTTTAAAAAGTGATTTTGTAAAATCTACACTATGGTCTCTGTTTCTCTAAAGTAAATGTTTGTGATTTGCTCCTCACACCGCAGTGAGTAAAAAAGAAACAAGAGGGAGGCCGAGGCGGGCGGATCACAAGGTCAGGAGATCGAGACCATCCTGGCTAACTCGGTGAAACCCCGTCTCTACTAGAAATACAAAAAATTAGCCGGGCGTACTGGCGGGCACCTGTAGTCCCAGCTGCTCAGGAGGCTGAGGCAGGAGAATGGTGGGAACCCGGGAGGCGGAGCTTGCAGTGAGCTGAGATCGCGCCACTGCACTCCAGCCTGGGCGACAGAGCGGGACTCCGTCTCAAAAAAAAGAAACAAGAACACAATAACATAAATATTGATGTTATGTTTCAATGTTGGGTAAATTTTTTTAGATGCCAATAAAGCTTATTTTTTGATACAATTTTTTAAAATAAATATTTATAAACAAACGGAGTCAATAAAATGAGTGGTCTTCTCTAGACAGGCATGAGAATGACAGTGAGTGACCCTGGCTGCCCCCCCGGCAGGAAGGCAAGGATAAAAGCAGCAGCTGTATCACAGTGCCCCATCCAGTCCTCACAGCAATCCCATGTGGGGGATCCTTTTACTATTCCCCGTTTACACACAAGAAGACTCAGGCACAGAGAAGGGCAGTGACTTGCCCAGGGACACACCACCCTCCTTCTGAAAAGTAGTTCAGTTCACCATTTCCTGCGGCCCACAGCGGGATGTGGCCTGGGCCCAGTTCATTGGTTTTAGCCTCGGGGTGTGCACATTCCTCCAGGGCACACACAGGTGCTGAACCAGGCTGCAGAGCATATGGCCAAGCTCAGGGGCACAGCAGAGAGCACATCACAAGAAAACGCCAGGTACCTGTTAGGCACGACACGCAGCCCTTTTGTGGATGTGCTATAAAATAACGGCGTGGCCAGGCGTGGTGGCTCACACCTGTAATCCCAGCACTTAGGGAGGCTGAGGCGGGCAGATCACTTGAGGTCAGGGGTTTGAGACCAGCCTGACCAACACGGTGAAACCCTGGCTCTACTAAAAATACACAAATTAGCTGGGCCTGATGGGTGGGAGCCTGTAATCTCAGCTACTCGGGAGGCTGAGGCAGGAGGATAACTAGAACCTGGGAGGCAGAGGTTGCAGTGAGCCAAAGTGCTGGGATTACAGGCCTGAGCCACTGCGCGCCGCCAAAAAGTGTTACTGAGCACTTTCAATGCAACTAATGCAAGTTGCTCTGCTCAGCACTTGAGACCCATGCTCTCATCTGGGCCTCACAGCAGCCCTTAGAGGCAGTGACTATTATTAAACGCAGATGCAAAGGTGCCTCATGGTTAAAGAAAAGGTGTCACAGGATAACAGGTAGATCTCACTTACGTTAAAAGAAAAAGAAACAAGCAAACAAACGTGTGGGGGTATGTGGGAATCCACACCGGAAAGTTCTGGGGGAAATGCACCTGAATGCTAATGGAGCCTTTCTCTGGGAAGGAAAGGAACCGGGCAAACAGGAACAAACTTTCTTTCTTTTCTTTTTTTTTTTTTTTTTTTTTTATGGAGTCTCGCTCTGTCGCCCAAGCTGGAGTGCAGTGGCGCGATCCTGGCTCACTGCAAGCTCC